ACTCATTTCAATTTTGAAAGTACAAAAAACCCAACTATTAATAAAGTTCTTGGGAATTTCCATTATCCTTGACATTATGAAGGAAAATACGTTTTCTAAAACAGAATCAACTTAGTACATGATGAATTTATTCTGAATGTGGGCAGGCACAAAATACATCTAATATAATTCAAAGGGATTGCTGATCTTGATTAGAAGCTGATTAGACAAACATGGTATTTTAAGTAATTTTTATTAAGTATATATATATATTTGTATATCACGGTATAAGCAATTTTTTTATTATTAAAGGATTCATGCAGAATAAAAACCCTCAGGGTACTACTGAACTTACTTTATAGCAAACAACTGTTATGTAACAAGCACTTACTCAACTTTAAAATAAAACATTTCAAAGCTATATTTGCTTCCTTTTTTATCAGCCAAACTGATAAACATAAAGACTCCTACTACTTAGATTTGTCAGCCTGTGGGGAAAAGGGCACTCTTATACTGGGTGTATAAATTGGCACACACATTCATGTGCCCTTTTGACTTGACTATCTGAACAATTTTACAAACATGCTTAAATAGCACTGCTTATAATGGCAAAAAATTTAGAACAACCTAATACATAAAGCAGGAGCATGATTAAATCAATAAGAGAACTTAACAGTAGTGCTAACTATATAGTTTATATACATATAATAACACACTATTTGACATGGAAAATGTGTCGAACATATTAAATGGGGAAAAAAGTAAATTGCAAAAGATTCTGCTCCCCTTCCCCCAGAAAACATGTCTGTGTGTTTGAGTGCTATTAAAATTATCTTGGCATAATTATTTTCAAATTAAAAAAATTTTTTTACTTGCCCACAGGCTCTTCCTCTCCCCTTAGTAACCTTCCTCTTATTAGCTTACTTAATACACAAATTACACTAAACAATTAATTCAGCTTGGATTTACCATTTATGCATGACTTAGCAAATTCTACATAATTCCTGCTATTGAATTCCATTACCAACTTATTTTAAAAGCTGGATAATATGAAGTCAATTATTATAAAACATTTCAGAGACTGAGACCATAAATAATTAAGAGATGAGGAGTTTGAATTTGAACAGGAATTATTCCTTCTAAAAAAGGAAATCTCTTAATATTAAGTAAAACAAAAGGCAACTATATTTCTTACATAGAACAGTATCCAAATCTATAGAATACAATCACATAAGTAAGTCTCTAGAAAGTGCTAGGCACAATTTCAACAGCTTTTCCTAAGCTCCTCAGTGTAGAGTCCCTGTCTTATTTATCTAAAACTAGTCCAGTACCTGCGCCCAGACGTATGCACTCTTAATAAGTGTTTGTTCACATATGATCTAGTTACTTAATACAGTGACTCATTTTTTAAATTAACAAATTATATTCCAACTGGATAAAGTGTCCCACTCTAGAGCCCACAGTTCCTCAGGATTCTCCTCCATCACTGCCTGATTCTGTGGCTCATTATTCTACTGGCCAGAGCAGGGCAGCCTAAGATGCTATGCCTCTTCCAGGACAGGGCATGTATTGTCTTCCTGAATTTCCAAAAGCTTCTAGCATAAGCCTGTGCAAAGTGAAGGTGCAAAAATAAATGCTTGCCAATACCATCAACCTTGCTGTTTGTATACTCTTATCATTTTAGGACTACCTCCAGATAAAATATCTCTTTAGGTGCAGTGGTGTTGCTTCTACAGATATAAAACTATAGATTAATTATAAGTTTAAAAAAATTTTAATGAAATTATCTGCCAAAGAAATAGGGTTTAGTAAAGGAAACAAAGTATTTGCAGATGTGTAAATGCTACAAATATAATCAAGTACAAACAAGTGTTAGGTAGTCGAATGCCTACATTATTTGGCTGGTATGGCTCACAATCACTTTCAGAATGGTGTATAGGCCTGGGTCAAATGGTCCAATACTTGACCAGCGGTTTTTCATGTGAAGTGATTTTGTCTCAGAGGACATTTGGCAACGTCCAGAGACACATTTGGTTGTCACAACTGGGGAGGTGCTACTGGCCACTCATGGGGAGAGGCCATGGAAGCTGCTAAATGTGCTACAACACAGAGGACATCCCCTCACACAAAGAACCATGCAGTCCAAAATATCAATCGTGCCAAGGAAGAGAACTCCTGTTCGAGATGACTGGAATAAGGTGAAATGATACGTGGTCTGCATGTTTGAATTAGCACCAAGAGTGGGACTAGGAAGAGCCTGGATGTCTCAGGTTTATAAATCAACCTCTGAGCACTTCACAAATCACCCAAGCACCACACTGTTATCCTTTGCTGATGCAAAATAAGTACCTAATTCTGCGAACTGCAATGGAGCTTGGTTGGGGGGGGCGTTTGAAGCTTGACATGCACTTAATCCTCAGTAAATGTGCACACGTCTCAGGTAGTGGTGCACAGGTGTGCAAGAAACCACCAGCTCTCCTAGGTTCGTGAAGGTCTCAGCCCTTCTGAAAACTTCAACCAAGTTAAACAAAACTATTTTGAAGTACTTAGGCAGTTTTTAACTACTTCACAGCTCTAATTTCTAGTATCTAAAATTTAAGACCAAGGATTACCAGGGAAAAAACATAAAAAACAAAAACAAAGCAGATAAATAGAGTCTATGTGGAGGTTCCCATCACTGCTTCCCCCTGCCTTCCACACTCACCATTTTCTTACTTTGTAAACTGTTCATTTGGGATAGCATTAATGAAGCCATAGAGCACACTGTAAATGAAGAAGGGATGTTTTGGTACATGACAACAAAAAAGGAGAAAAAGAAACACTTTAAACAAGTATAGGATAATAGAGAAGAACAGCAAAACACAGTTGTGAGTTTATGGCAGTATCAAAATACTAATCTCCTGTGACAAGGGGCACTGGTGCATTAAGAGACAGAGACCTACCAGTGAGTAAGCAGTCACATCCTGAAAATCTATGAGAGGTCACTCTAACCTAGAAAGGGAGCCACTGCCACCCTGACTTCACTCTGCTGCTGAAACTCTAATGGATGTAAGGATCTGGTAAACAAAGGCAAGAAAAAATGCTCAGTTTGATTACCAAGGGAGTCCAGAAATTATCTTCAGAGTGAGGAAAACACTGTATGCCACTTCTTAGCTCCTTAAGGACTTTATTGAACCTTATGTCTGAAAGATTTTCATAAATAATGATTTCTTATTTCTTACTGTGCATTTGGAGTTCTGGATGGGAATTAACTGTAGGACTGCTCCATCTTTTCCAACCTTAAACTAAAATGTGGCCTCCGTTAGGATACATAGACAGGGAAATACTTTAAAGAGAAATTAAAAGATTCTTAACACCTACATAAAAAAATCTATAAAGGAAGAATTAAAGAAAAAGTTCCTAACATCTATACAAAAGAATCTATCATTAACACATTGAGATATAATGCTTCCCAGAAAATCCTTGGTTGATTAATAATTAGCTCAAGAAAGAAAACTAATTATGTCAGGTTAACCAAAGGCAAGTCACAGACACTATAAGATAAAATATAGTGGAATTCAACAAGTGACCTTCTTTAAAAAGTTCACAAAAACTTCGTGTAAGAGGTCAAAGAGAAGCACTATTTCAGCATCACAGATTTCTTCTGGGTTAAAGAATGACACTAAGATAACTGTACATGTGGGACTGCTATACTTATTCTAGAATGGTCCTTGGTGCACATGGTATCATTAAAGATAACAACAGACACAAAAAAACAATTTATTTACATTATAAACAGTTTTCCCAGAGAAAAAGTGACATATTGATAAGTCATTTTTCTGGTGGACCCGGAAAGTCCACATTACCCACAGTGTGGTTGAAAGTTTCAGTGCTATTTTCCTTGCCTAAAAAATTAGCAATTGGCTTACATCCCTAAGGTAATGTCCAATGTGAAATTTGATTCCAGAACTCGGATTTGAACAGAGCTTCAGAAATTCATATTGCTTCTGTTAAAATATTTTTAAATAATAAAAGATACATTTTCTGTTTTATCTCCTCCATATCCCTAGTTTAAAGTTTCAGTGAGGTATGGAGGGGGTTATAGGAATAGGTAGAGGAGTATATCACATAAACCTAACATAAATTACATTTAACAACCATGCTAATGTGGGTTTGTGTCTAATACAGGGAAAAGAAACTATCAAAATTAATAGCTTGCTGAGTGTACTGTTCTCAGCAGGTCCGTTAGCCAAAAGGTCTGCTCAGATGATGATGTTCGATGACTAGGTGGGAAGAAGAGAAATGTGTGTGGGGTTTTTGCCATTTTGAAAATGAATTGTGAGGCCTCTGTAAAGACATTTTTCTTCTACCACACATACAAAAGGAAAACATAATTTTTTCTAAAAATAGTATTTCTTAATTATTTTTATTGTAAGATGTCCTTTGAATGTACTAATGAAGAATTTCTATGCCACTCTCCCTGCTATCCTAGATTACAATATAACCAATAAAACTGCTTTTTTGGCAGTTTAAAAATACAAATCTCCTTAGATGTGCACAGCCCCTAGAACCCACCCAAGTGATCTTGGGGTACACTTCTCATGATGCTATCATAGGGAGTCACACTCCCTCCATAAGGCCAAAGCAATCTTTAGTTACCCAGAATATTAGCACTTTAAAAATGACAATCATGCCTCTCTACTGCACTTAGAGGGGTTTGGAATCACTCCATGATATTCCTTCTTTATTAACAGAAAAGCACTTCTAATTACTGGCACCTGAGAATGTATAAATCTTCCTTCATTTAAAATTCCACTTTGGTAGAAACTTATAAAAGCAGTTCAGCATGAAGATGACCTCAAATTTGCAATACCGAAACCACCCTTCAGCAGAAAGCTACTCAAAAAATACCTTTCTACACATTTTAAAATGTAAAATTAAGAGAAATCTCTTATTCAAGAATAAGTATTTTAAGATTAAAAAAAAATGAGATGCAATTAGAATCTCATTGCCCAGCATTTTCCATTTTAGCCCACACTCACCTCTCCCGAGGAACAGCAAACCAGTATTCTGGTTGCTTTTTTCGTTTGCCATACTGCTGAACCATGGCTGCAGTGTGAGTGGCAAAGGATTTTCTCATTGGTTTTCCTACTTTAATGCACAGAAACATGGGTGGAGTCTTGCTTTTCTCTTCTTTTGAAGGAAGTATATCTAAATCACACATGAAAAAAATCTTCCTCAATATTGACAATATTGGTGTTAATGATGTCTATCAACATACAAAGAATAGTATCTGGTCCCCTCTTGGTGATAGCAAGTCAAAACATATGGCAGAAACATACATCACCATCATGTTAGAGGACTAATTAGAATTTTCAGACCCTCTTTAGCACAAAAGGAAAAAGCTTTGAAAGTTTCAGGGTGTTCCACATCACATGAGATGCTACATCCTGGAAACAGCATAAAAAACAACACAATAGCAAATAGTGGGAAGTTGTGACAATTCACAAGAATGCATAGGATGGCAGCCCAGGATTCGATCACACCATATGGCAACTCAGTTTAGAACTGAGTTATCTACAAAAACATTTCAAACTCCTTTAGATTTAGAAGTTCATGGTAAAAAGGGGAGTTACTTGAAAGAGTAAAAGAAAAGCAAATTACTTTCAAAATGTCATCTATGTCATAGTTCAAGTTCCAAAATACATAGCATACTTAATTTTTTTCCCAATTAATGTATCAGGTAAAGATAAGCTCTATTGAGAAAACATTGTTCTCAAGTAATTGTACTATGTTTGCTAATGCATGTGCAAGTTTCAGAAAGCCAACCAGATGACAGAATATAAAGATATTAAAGAAAAATAACTTACCTTCAATGGGTACCTGAATTCTCTTTAATAGCCATAATTGAATTTCAGATTTATTATCCATTTGTGCACCCTCACAGCTGTTGTCCAACGTAGGTTCCGAAGAGAAGTCTAGAGATTCCTTACTCCTATTTTCTTCTGTAGAAGAGGCCAGTTGCAGTGGGAGGGGTGCTCTGTCTTTCACCCACGTTTTATCTGGCTCTTTATTGCCCTCAGTTGGGGCATCACCTGCCTGGGGAAGAGAACTACTAAGGGTGATGTCTATTCCCACTTGCCCAATACTTCTGCCATCACTTAATTCTGCCCTCTGCAAATTTTCAGATAACGGTGGCCCTTCTTTGTTCTTATTAAGGTAATATTCAATCAGTTTAACTTTATCTAAATCTTCATGTATATGCAGTGTGTTTTCCACCTGGCTTTCTGGGGAACCAGACTGTTTGGCCACCTCTGGCATTATATCTTGCTTCTCACACGTTTCTAAATCCAGGGCCCCCTTCAGTTCAGCATCACTCTCGGGTCCTGACAAATTCAGGGCCGACTGCACCTGCATTTCTGTGGCAGAGGCGACTATTTGTGACTTAGCCTTCCTTAGCTCTTCCATGTCAAGAGAAAGGCACTCCTTTGAGGGGTCTATTTTGTCTAGTCCACTATCAGTTTGAAAAGAAAGTTCTTCCAAGTCAACGAAGTCATCATCTTCCCCTAAAAGGGAATTTTCTTTGGCTATAGATTCAAATGCAGTGTGAGTATCAGAAAGCTCCTTGCAGACCTTGGTCACTCTGGGAGAACCATCGGTTGCCTCAGTAGAGGATTCCAGTTTCTTTAAACTGACTGACACAGAGCTGTCTGGGGGCTTCATATGTGTGTACTCTGTTGACTTCTCCAAAGTGCTTGTTAATTCGGAATCTGAAATGATGGTCCTCTCTCCATTCTGCTGCCGTTTTTCCTTGTTGAGAGATTTGAACTTACTGAATGGGTTGATATCCTTTTCTGAAGCCAGGTCTTCCCATTCTCCAGGCCTGTACAGAGGACAAAGATCCTGAGGTAGGTCACTGTTGGGGGAAAAATGGTGGGTGCACATGGACTGTTAAAACAAAACCAAAAACAAAATGGAGGAAAGGCAAAGACCAAAATAAAACCCAACCAAAAACTAAAACATAAATATATTGCAACTTAAATTTATGTTCAAATGATTTCAGAATCAGGAAATGAAAACAAGAAACTGACTTCAAAATGAAACACAAATCAAGTGTAAGAAGTGGTAAAACAAAGAACCATGAAAGTTGCATATCCTACTAGAAGTACATGAATGATTTTTGAAGCCATTTATGAAAGTGGAGATGTTACCCACTAGATTTTTAATGATGAAATGATATTTCTGATATTCATGAAAGAAAGGAAATATTTTAGTACTAGGATTAAAATACCTTGAATAGTCAAAGCCTTTCCTTTTTATAAAATAGAATAAAAACCAACTGCATCAATTCTGAATGACTCACTGACTGAGTAGCTACTCAGTTAACTAAGCTCTCTAAAGTGACTGACCCCAAACCCTAATTTTGAGTCTCATGGCTTAAGATCTGATGCTTCCATTAACAGACATCATTCTACTCCTGAGAGATATGCAAGAATAAGCTTCCACTATTATTGTAGACATATAGCACCTGCTCTATTTTGTTAAAAATTTATAGAAAAGTAAATCAAATAAGCTCTTATAATACTTAAATTTCTTAGGTTTAATTTCTTAACCCTTTCATTTTATAACAGTATCATTTTACTTTATGACAATGAGCAACTGGTTTATTGGGTGAAATGTACTGTCCCGGGCTACAGTCAGTTATTTTTCCTTACTAACAGATGATTTACTACCCAGATTTCAATTATACAAAAATATTGATTAAACATGTTTTCCAAAGTTTAATATAAATGGTCAAGAAACATACTTTTTAAACTATGACTGGAAATACCTTGAGCAACCCATATTTTCACTTACCTTACTATTGAAACTAGGTTAAAACAGAGATAAAAACCCTTTATAAAACTAACATTTTTCAGACTTCAAAAATAATTTTATTTTCTAAAAAGGCTACATCATGTTCAGGTAATACTTTATTATTCTGGCTTTGAAATAATTAATGACAATAAAACAACAAAGTACCAGGAAGTTCTAAGTTACAAGATTGTCCCCCCAAAGTTATTTTGTAAATAAATCACTTACATGGAACAGCCATGCTTTATCCAATAGAAAATAACAGCATACATAACAGTTAGCCTCTGATAAATGCTTTAAAAAGCCTCTTTAATGCATAATTAATTTCAATTCAATAAGCATTCAGTAAGCCCCTAATGCCCTATGCTCTAAAACTACTGTGACAAGTGTCTGTTCTGCAGGAACCTGCAGTCGTAAAAATGTTCTACCCAACACTAGCATCCCAGGAGATAATAAATCCCAGAGTCAAATAAGTTAATGTAATGTGGCATAATTGCCATTTTAGGACCCCAAATCTAATTTGGCATATTAAAGACTATAATAAGTCCAACAAAGAAACAGCTCTTCACATACTTGGTTAATAAGCAAAACTTTCTTCTATGAAATTCCAAGCCCCTTTCTCATCTCTTCTTTCTTTACCTAGCTTGACCCTCACAAAGAACATATCTGTACTCTAATCAGCCTCCTATATTACCATGTCTGCCCTTCCCTTCTTGTTTGTATCTAATCCAAGCTGGGATTTATTTAGCCATCTGTTTCTTCTGCACTGCAGCTGCCAAGCACCATGGGGCCGAGTACACAGAGGTGTCAACTGGCCCGATTGTTAATGTTTTCTAGACTCAGTCAGATTCTTAATGATGATCAATGATCTCTTCAGTTGTTCTCTTCCTATTCTCTGTGGCAGTTGGAGTGATAAAAAATACAGAAAAAAATACCAAGTCTGAGGGTGAGGATGGAGAAATTTTACACACACACACACACACACACACACACACACACATACACACACACACACACTTTTAAAAAGTATTTGTATATTGCAGCTAGACAATTTGTACTTCTTGTTTTACCATTCAACTTTTAGGAATGAAATTTAAAGCGATTTTTAACTTCTAAACAATTGATGGAATTCTGAAGTCATACTAAGTTCATTTCACACTGATTCTGCTCACAGATTCTATCTTGTTCACTGGTACATATATTGTTCATGAGATTGAACAGTCTTTCTACATCTGCAACCAAAGCAGGAATAGGGCACGACTCTGAAAGAAACTCAGCATGTAAGGAGCCAGTTCTTAATGCTTCTCTCTCCCTCCAGCTACAGCATTAAAACTGTCTTCCAGAGCTCAGACAATCTCACAATGAAACGTTTCTGTCAAGAAAGGTTCTATCTTCCCTTTCTATTATTAAAAAGGATACTTAACATCCTAAGCTGAAGATAGGCAATAGCACTACTCCATTAGCAGCCATCATTGGGTAAGAATGCCCGTAATGCCTGGCCACCCACTTCCAAAAGGAACTACATCTTTACCTATTCTTATCTTTCCTCTCATCGCAGAAAACCCAATATTCATTCCTTCTTTCCAAAACTACTCCTTTCCTCACCTCTTCTTCTCTGCCTCCATCTAACATTCCATAGCAGTTGCACACTTCCTCACCCGGGTTCTCATGAAATGCTCTGTGTACTTCTATGTGTACAGTGCCACTGAATTACCACTTCTGTCTATGTGTCTGGGCAGGGGCCATGGCCCACTCACTTTCACATATCCGCCACACAAGAGGCACTAAGATGCATCAGAAGCCTCAGTCCACAAGGATAACAAGATTCCCACAGAACAGTGAACAGCATTTCAGATATGAATTAAAGGTTCAAATAACAGCCTACACTTACTGGGCATCAGGCTATTTTCTATGGGTTTTGGTATGTCAATACATTTAATTCTTATAACAGCTCTGTAAGCTGAAGAACACTATCAATTCCATTTTACAGAGAAGAAAACAGGCTTGGGATTGAGTAGCTCATGCAGGTCATGGAGCCATTAGGGGCAGAGCTGGGGAAACCCAGTCAGTGTGGCTACAACCTTATCATGATGCACGGTTGCTGGCCTGCCACGTGGCCTCCTGAACCCCTTACTTGGGCACTTGTGGCAGAATTTAGAAACCACTTCAGTGTCTATGCTCTGGTGGTGGTTTCCTTGGCTTGGACTTGGGTAAGGGCCAAGTGGGTCAGATGTAAAGGACTTTAAGAGTTTAGGAGGACCTGCCAGGGTAAATGCCTAAGGACTCTGTCTGGGTTCATTCTCTAGTTACCTTCCCTTCTTTGTGTGAGTCCCAAGAACTAGTTTCCCTGTGTACCATTGGGACTCCCTGCTTTGCCTCTACTTCCCCATCCCTGAGGGTTGCTAAAGATTTTTAGTGCTAGCATATGTAGGGAAACAGAAACACTGACAAAATGACAGACTCAGATTATCCTCAGAAGTGAACTGATCTGAGCTTTCTTAACCCTATTTCTCTTTCTTCATGGGGAGCTTCCTTCTCTTTTATAAAAAAAACCCCAAAAAACCCCAGTCTTCAGTTTTACAAGGCAAATATAATCATGACGAAAGCAATACTCACCTACAGTTCAGAGAAAAAGCAAACCAGTCTTACTCCCCATTTACTCATCACCTAAAGTATCTGGCTACAGGGGCAGTGACCTCTGCACTGTCCACTCAAATTTCCTTCATGCAGGATTAAGGGAAGACATGAGTTGGAAAGACTGCTGATCCTAGAATTTGAATGTAGAAGCGCATAATTCTGTTTAACAACTAAACTGAGAGAGAAAGACTGTTCTCCCACTGGTAATCAAATGTTTTCATAGAAACTTCATCTTTTATACATGTATTAAGAACAAGCATTGCTTTCAGAAAAAGAAGCTAAACAAATACCATTTTTATGTGGTTTTTTTGCTTTTCTCCTTTCATTTTTATATGTTCAACTTTTCCCTGTCATTAACTTTACTATTTTCATTTCCTCTCATTTCTCTATTTCTTGAATTTAGTGTACAAATCTTCCACCTTCAAATTCACCTCTACACAATCTCTCACTCCTGCCAACACTTTTGCTTTTTAACTGTATTTAATACTCTCAACACCCCCTTTTTTCCTAGTAAACAAAGAAAGGTTTCTTACGATGGCAAGGCATCTTTGATCTTCATGTGGGAAATGTCATTGTAGAGGGCAATGGAAACGACCTCTTCCATGGGGCAAATGAGGCCATACTCTTCACACCCATTTTCAATGACCAGGGGATCGGACTTGTGAGGGTCAAACATGATGTTGTTAGGGGTGACAATCATGACGCCTCCGACCACACCCTGCAGGAGAGAGGGACAGGACAGAATCACCACAGGTGGAAATGCAACCACTACAGCAGCTTGGATGAGCGTACGCTGCCATTCTATTGATTTCAGTGAACCATAATATCTTATATGATAATCACATCCCTTTCAAGAGGGCTGGAAAAATAGGCAATGCGGGGTATGATTTGTGAGGCTGTGAAAATAGACTTTTCTCAGTTATGGCAGTCAACCGAGCTTGCTTCTGGCCCAGCTGCTGCAAATTGGGGTGGGATCTTGGGTTACACATATATGTCTCAGATTCCCCAATGCCCTGGCTGTAAGATGAGAGGGGCCTCTCAAGTGCTTTCTTGATCGAGAACTGGGTGCTTTACAGTTCACTCAGCACGTTCACCACATGTCCATGGCACCATGCTTAGGCAGCAGGTGTCCTGGAGTGATGGTGCCAAAGAACAATCCTAATATCCATTCCTAGAACATTTAGAAAGCCCACCTCCAGCAAATTAGGCGCAAGTAGGAATATGCCATTTTTTTGCAGCCAGAAGTAAACAGCTGAACTATGGGATTTAAAATTGAAAACCAGTAGTTTGGCAGAACTTAAAAGCCTGGAGCTGGGTCAATTTACATTATAGACCTTGATGGCCACAGGGATATTATCTGCCAGAGACAGCATGATACAGATGACTCCCTTTAGGTAAATAATTTATTTTGATACTCTTAATTACTTAAGTGATCATCTTTGCAAGAAGTTTTGCATTTCAGGTATTACTTATTCTTGGTTGCAAAAGTCATACTGCATATCAATAACATTTTCCTATCTTTTGGAACCTGGTATGAAGTCTCTCTTATGAGCACAGGAATTTATTATATATTTAAGATAACCCCTGCTTTAGAGATTTATTACACGTTGGATTTGTTCTTTGTATATAACCAAACAACCCAAAAACTAAACACACAACCTATTAGACATGTTTAATGCCAGCATCTCCAGCAGCAGAGAGTCTGACTCCAGAATTTGTTCTTAAACACATACTATACTGTCTCCCTAACAACTTATAAGCCAAGAACTGAGATAAAATGATAAATCCAAGGTCAACAAAGAATAACATTTCCACTCAATGATCACATTTCCTTCTATAAGGAATCCAACAGGAAAAACAAATGGACACTTGTGAAATCTTAAGCTGAAACTTTGGGTGAGGTATTTGAATGTAGCCTGCATTCAGTAATGTGGAACCTAGTTTAGTTTTCCATAGAGTCCAAGAAAAGGAAACAAATTACATTGCCATATACCTTTCCATCAGTGAAGTATCGACAATTCATTTTTAAAAATTTTACCACGCCTGGCTCATCTTCTTCAGACGTGGACGATAAGACTCTTTCAATGGGTTTTAATGCCTTTCTTGCTAAGTCAGCATCCTTTAGAAAGCAAAATTTTCCAAAATCAAATAGAAGCACTTTTTCAAAACAAATCATTTATGTAAATCAAGTTACATACGCTCCCTGTAAATGACCTATTTCTGTTTAACATAAAAAAGGCAAATGTCCTTCAACAGTATCGCAAATATAACAATAAGTATCCAAATCAAACTAGGATTTTTTTAAATTGCCTATGTATGAAACCAGAAAAATGACTTATAAAATGTCTTTAGAACATAACCTAACTGAACAAATTCACATTTGATTTATGGTTTCAAATTCCCTTTAGAAAAAGGAGTAAAAGTTGTATAAATAAATGACCAGTTTGAGAGTTTACCTTCATACTTTCATGTAAACAAGGCATGCATTTTTGCCTTGAGACCTTCAATGTTAACAGGTTTCTTCTGGATTGGATACATTCTTTCAATTGAAGACAATTCCCTTACCCAAGTCCTTTGGGGAAATTTCAGGTGAAATCCCATGAACAATAACATGCAGAATTCTACAACTCAAAAATGTTTTGTATAAACATGAACTTCAGTGCATAAACAACATACATACAGGCAATTTATCATATTCTGCATCTGAGGATGAAGGAGAGACAGTAGCACCAGGACTGGATGATAACCGTAAGGTACTGGAAGGAAAGTTGGCATCTGGCACAAAAAGAACCTGAGAATGGAAAGAGAGGCTATGTGAGTACCAAGAATCAGGCAAACCACTCAACAGTGTTTAAAGCAGTTACTGTCGACATCAACATAATGCTAGGTGCATGACTAAGACCTCGTTGGCTTTCATGGAACTCATAAGCAACTTGGGGCCTTCTAGACTAATCCATGAAACAATAATCAACAATATGAGTGTGTGCAGTGCAAAGGTACGGAATATACCTGTAGAAGCTGCAGGAACTCACCAAAAGGGATTTGGGTAGGAAGGGAAGAGCCTTCCAGGGAAGGGTACTAATAGTAAAAAGGAATAGAAGAGAGACCAGCAGGGCATGCTTCTAAACATAACTCTTGTGTCTGGAAGAAATGGAACAAATCCAGGCTTGCTAACTCTGAGCAGACCCTGAGTGCTAATGAAGTAAGGTCTTGATATGATAAACTGTACACATTAATGTCAATGCTCCCATTGCTTCCTCTTCCATCACTGTCTGGGTTATCGAAAAACAAAAATTAAAATCCTCCAAATTGCCTCCTTCTGCAAAATGTCCTAGTTCCCTAAATATGATTATGATCCTGTCATTCAACACTCTTTAGATGAGACCTGCTACATTTTGGCATATATAAAATACAATCTTAAAATAACCACCTTTAATGTTATAAAACAGAGAATACAGAACTAATCATGTAACAACTTATATGTTACTCTCATCTTTCCAACCATCTCTCTGTTTTAACTTTAATTATGTAAATCTCTCTTTAATACAGAAAAAAACTTGGAGGCCACAACAAAACATTATGATAAAGGTAGGAAAATAAACATCAGGGAGAAATTAAGTTCAGGACTGATTAGTACTGAATATACAGAGTCCCAAGTCACCAAACACCTGGTGAGAGGAGGGCCATAAAATTGGTTCTGAGTTTCTAAATAACCAAATCAGAGGGATAGATACCATTAGTGAGTAGAATACAACTTCCATAAGATAAAAACAAAACCAGTTTCTCCAAAATACAAATATTCTTCCATGAAGTCTTATAAAAAAATGTGTCCTGCATTGAAATACCTGTTCTTGAGGACACACTGATAGTAATACAATAGTCAGTTTGGGAGGACTGTTCTTTGGAACATCTTCAGTATGGTTCTGTGGCAAATGAAAAAAGTTTAGAGTTCCGTAAAAGCAATTTACAGAGCACTAAAATGATGCTGTCTTGGTAAACAGCTCTCTTATTTATCTTATATATTTAGACTAGAGGAATGAGATGGATGACATTTCTTCCAAGCAATTGTCCACTCATATTTTTTTTGCACCTGAGCTCTTGAAAAGTATTAGGTAACACGGTTGAGATTCTATTGCCGGACATGTTCTAGGTGTCAAATCCAAGAGGTAATTCCTATGCTTTAACAGTTCACTGCACTAGAGGCAGAGATGACCATGGAGAGCTGGGAAGCTAAGCCAGACATGTGCTACCTCAACATGAAAGTGGGCCTGGGTCATGGGGAGGGGTGAAGTTTTCCTATTAACTTCAAAAAAGAACTCCAGGTCTGTTGCAACACATGGCAAATGGGGGATTTGAAGTCCGACAGTTCTGTACCATCAAACAAAGCTGTTGTTATTTCAGCCTAGACATTTTTCTAGGCTTGTGCCCTATGAATATAAAAACATTTTAAACCACACACACACAAGTCACTTCTGAGTGTGCTTAAGATAAGCTACCTGAGAAAGTACATTCTTTGCATATGCCTTCAAATCTGTTCTAAATATCTGAACTAATAGCCAAACTCAGGAACTCCTAAAATAATTTTTATATTTCTGTTTTTTAAATTTGTCTGTTACTGTTTCTGATTATTATTTTTATTATTATTATATTTTTTGGTATCATTAATCTATAATTACATGAGAAACATTATGTTTACTAGACTCTCCCCATCACCAAGTCCCCCCAACAAACCCCATTACAGTCACTGTCCATCAGCATAGTAAGATGCTGTAGAATCACTACTTGTCTTCTCTGTGTTGCACAGCCCTCCCGGTGCCCTCCCCCCATTATACATGCTAATCATAATGCCCCCTTTCTTCCCCCTTCCCCCTTATCCCTCCCTTCCCACTCATCCTCCCCAGTCCTTTTCCCTTTGGTAACTGTTAGTCCATTCTTGGGTTCTGTGAGTCTGCTGCTGTTTTGTTCCTTCAGTTTTTTCTTTGTTATTATACTCCACATATGAGTGAAATCATTTGGTATTTGTCTTTCCTTGCCTGGTTTATTTCACTGAGCATAGTACCCTCTAGCTCCATCCATGTTGTTGCAAATGGTAGGATTTGTTTTCTTCTTATGGCTGAATAATATTCTATTGTGTATATGTACCACATCTTCTTTATCCATTCATCTACTGATGGACATTTAGGTTGCTTCCATTTCTTGGCTATTGTAAATAGTGCTGCAATAAACATAGGGGTGCAGCTGTCTTTTCCAAACTGGGCTGTTTTTGGTTTTTAAAGCAGCAAAACATCTAGAGTAAGATTTTAGTGCCATAAGCTGTCAGGTAACGTCCTCAGACAATCGTCTCTTACACATGGTCACCACTCAGCCATACCAATTTCCTTTCCTACCTTAAAAGGACCATCAAGTCAGTCTCTACAAGGGTGAGTCTCACATTTTCTGGAACAAATGCAGATAGAACCAGTTTTGACTTACCAGATCCACTTCATGTACCAAGACAGAGCATTTAAAAATCTCTGACAGCAAAATGGCATCTACCATTTTTGAAAAGCTCCTCCACTAATTTCATTCCTCTTGGTTCCTTCTCTTTGCGAGCAAAACCATGATTGCAGCTGGGTCCTGGGATAGCTAATAGCACGTGAGTGTTTAATTATACAAGGGCTGGACAGCACAGCAAAGGCAAGAGGGGAGGTCCAAGAGAATGTGGCCCAATCCCTAATTTCAGGGATTAGGAAACTGAGGTTCAAAAAAGGAAGTGACTTGCCCAAGTCAAACAGCTCCTACAGGCCAATCCCAACAAAAGCTTTGGGGCTCCTATTTCTGACATATTTACCATTACAGTAGGATGGTATTAAAAGAGTCCTTACACTTCCTATTGGCTACTGGACCTTGATCCAATACAAAAACTTTGTTTATGGATATAGTAAAAGAAATAATGAATTACCCTAAATTATTTTACTAAGTTCCAGCAACTATAATCTTTAGCTTTGAGTTAGTAAATACATGCCTAGGTTCCCTGCTATGTTCAGTTACAGCAATACCCCAGCTTTTAAGAAACCCGGAAAGGCAATCAAAATCAACAACTAATTTTCCTAAAGATGAAAATTGATTTTTTAAAAATTTTATGCATATTTCCCCTGATTATTGGGTATATGAATTTGTCTTTTTGATAAAAACCTTTATACTAAATGCCCAGTAATACAAACTGGCCAATTTATGGCCTCCTGCCTTCATGAGCTGCCCTTAGACAAAATGCAAAGAACAGTATCCCATTTCCTGAATGAATCTGTACATATAAGTAGCTGCATCTATTGTAAAAGAATTAAATGTCACCATAACATAGAGATGCAGGAAAATCCTTGAGTAAGTCAACAATGGAACCAGAATGTGCTCGTGGCAATGGAGTAATTCTATGGGTAGGACTTGAAACTTGGCCTCAGCTAGGAGCCACCAATGACTGGGTCATTTACATTTATTAGCTAAACGTAGTTTTATAGTAAAAATATAAGAATGTTATTATGTAGAAAATGCTACAAAAGTTTTGCTGGAATAACCAACTGGCAGAAGGACCCAATTTTCAATTTCCTTCAGTTTAACAAATGAAGCATCAAAAACCTGGGAAAAAATTTGTGTGGCCTTTTCTAGATGGTCCTCCTGAATGTCTCTGCCTATGGCCAAATTAACTATTTTTGTCATGGTATCAAACCAAAACAAAAATGACAAAGATTCTGACTAATTTAAAATAAAATGATGGCTATACTATATTCCAGGAATAGACTAAATTGAAACCTACAACTCTAAATTAAGCATTCTAAGAACATCTATGTGATATTCTACAGGGAAAAAAAGTCACATTAAATTAACTTGTCTTGATGTCCTTTGGGAACATTTATAATATAAACCAATGACAGTTAAGTAAATTATGTTAATGACTTGCAAAGCATTCCTCTCTGAGCATTGCATAAGCTGTCAGAATTCTTGGATCTACAGGAGAGGAAAGACTGAACAAATGCACATTACCACTAATGATAACCTACTACATTAACAGTAAGGCATTAAAAATGGCACTATAAGAGAAATGTAAAATTTCTATAGCAATATTCAACAAGAAAATAATTACCTGGCCTGGAACAATAGTATGTGTGAAAAGTTTATTCAGTTCCACTAACTTATTGGGAGTGATGTTAAACTTCAGTGCTATGGAGTTCAGGGTGTCCTGGCTTCCAGCCTAGAATAATCAAACAAACAAGATTTAAAATATAAAGCAAAAAGCCAAAAACAAAGTGGACTTCCTTTTGCTGGATAACATCAATCAGTTGGTGAAATGAGTGAATGAAAAATAGCTCCATACATACATACTATGAAAAAGAAATTGAATTCATTTCTCAGTTCTTTTTTTTACATTTATCTATATATATCTATTTTGATACTGTTAATATACAATTAATTGAACAACATTATGGTTACTAGACTCCCCCTACTATCAAGTCCCCCCCATATACCCCATTACAGTCACTGTCCATCAGTGTAGTAAGATGCTATAGAATCACTAGTTGTCTTCTCTGTATATACTGCCTTCTCCGTGTCCCCAAGCCCCTACATTATATGTGCTAATTGTAATATCCCTTTTCCCCCTTTTCCCCCTTATCCCTCCCTCCCCACTCATCCTCTCCAGTCCCTTTCCCTTTGGTAACTGTTAGTCCATTCTTGGGTTCTCTGAGTCTGCTGGTGTTTTGTTCCTTCATTTTTCTCTTTGTTGTTTTACTCCACAGATGAGTGAAATCATTTGATACTTGTCTTTCTCTACCTGGCTTATTTCACTGAGCATAATACCCTCTAGCTCCATCCATGTTATTGCAAATGGTAGGATTCGTTTTTTTCTTATGGCTAAATAATACTCCATTGTATATATGTACCACATCTTCTTTATCCTTTCATCTACTGATAGACACTTAGGTTGCTTCCATTTCTTGGCTATTGTAAATAGTGCTGTGATAAACATAGGGGTGCATCTATCTTTTTCAAACTGGGCTGCTTCATTCTTAGGGTAAATTCCTAGGAGTGGAATTCCTGGGTCAAATGGTATTTCTATTTTGAGTTTTTTGAGGAACCTCCATACTGCTTTCCACAATGGTTGAACTAGTTTACATTCCTACCAGCAGTGTAGGAAGGTTCTCCTTTCTCCACATCCTCGCCAACATTTGTTGTTGTTTGTCTTTTGGATGTTGGCCATCCTAACCATTTCTCAGTTCTTAATAAATCCACATAAAAGCAAAGTCTTAAATGCAATTCACTTCTGGGCTCCCTTATCTTCAAATTTCACTGTCCACTAATAGACTTCTAAACTAACTTTGGCACAGCTTGGGAGTGTGGAGTAGAGGCCCAAAGGTATAACAAACTGTAAGTAGAAAAGAAATAAAACATACATACAGTGCCCACTGAAAGGGGAAGTGGAACTCTCACTCTTCTGTTTGCCTGTCTCTTCACTGCACTATAGGCTCCTGGATGGTGGCCTATTAATAGCTGTTTTCCCCAATCTCAGCACAGTGCTCAACACATAGAAGGCACTCAAATATTTGACAAATGAATATGGTAGAGGGCAAGGAACTCTGAAAGAAATTCAGATTAGCAACCAATAATTGTTCACTGTCATTAAAATGGCAATTTCCAATGATCAGCCAAATTAATGTTCTCTAAATTTATAGAACTTGGAATGTATATCTGAGGTGCATATGTTTCTTTTCTAATAGAGGAGAAATAGGAATAAAGAGGACAGTGAGAAGATGTCATGTGAAACTTCAGAGTAAAAAAGCTCCATTCAAAAGAAGCCTGCGGCCCCTTGTGAGGTCAGTGCCCCAGGACAGACTATCTGTACAGGGTCACTCTGGTGAACTTTACTGAGCAGATCCCTTCTATAGACCTGGGTCAAGGCTGTGGCTGTCTGTATAAGCAGAACTGACTCCACCAGGTGAGCCTTTAATTAGGTGGAGATTTGAGGGGGCTGCAGGAGGCTATGGACTGGTAAAAAGATACAGATGTTGAACTAAACCCACGACTGCCCTTAGTATCAAAACTGGATGAGTTACAGATTACACTAAAATTACCTCAAAGCATTTCTAGAACAGATTAGGATATAAATACATATATTTTTTAAAAAATCACTAAAAACTTAACAACATATGCCCCTACCTCTACATTGGGCAAAATCATCTCTACTAAAAATTAGACAAGTATTTTTATATATTCTTTTCTAGTATTAGATTTACATAAATCCAGTCCAGGGTTTAGTGTCAGTTCAGGATACAGATTAATGAGAATGCAGACTAGACCAGAGCCAGACTGTTGGATCTGGATTCCAGATCTGCGACTTGCTGTGTGACTTTGGGCCATTGGCTTAACTGCTCTGTGTCTCAGTTTCTTTATCCACCAAACAGAAACAACTGTATTTTCTTTTAGAGCACTTACTTCACAATAAATTTGCTTCATGGTTTTAATGAAAAAAACTTGTATAAGATACTGTACATAGGGAGCTCAGGGAAATAATCTAGAGTTGATATGTAAATATAAGAACCAAGCCACAGGCTCCAGGAGGGAAACTGGTATCAATTAAATGCTTGATATTAAACAGAATGCTTGAACATCCACAGCTGTGCAGCAATATAAGCAATCTGGTAAGTGCTACCTAGCATGGTTCTCTAAATGCAAAGTTATGAATCACTTTTATTTCCAATGACAAGTACACAAAATAACTTGCCAAGGAAAACTAATCCCCATAACATATATCTCAAACAGGAAGACATATCTGTATTGTTAAGTTGATCACCTCTTTATATCAATTAATATGGGGGTTGATTTTTATTCTTATTACATTGTTAAGTATGTGTGTGAAGCATCTCCTAGCAAACAACATACCTCATTTTCTTGGAGGAGCTTGTGAATCATACTCCTGGATACATGCATGGCTTTAGAATTAATATTGTATGACGACAATTCAATACTCCTCGCATACCTGCTATGAGGTGAGGCATTGTGCCAATTATTGAGGAGATCACAAACATGTTATAGACAGTGATAACGTGAGATATATAATCACCCTGAACTTTCTGGAAAGGACTAGGAGGCCTCTGAACCACAGAAAGATGCCTAGACATGTTCTCAGAGCACTGAGCATGAAATGCCCATGCCAGAGCTCTTCAATATGCTGCTACAGAGGCCTGGAGGAGATTTACCATTCTAACAAACATGCCAGGGAGGGATCCGGCCTTGCTGCTTGCCTGATATAGAGCCTGGCATGGCACACAAATAACGAGTAGAGAATGAATACATATGAGGAAAACAACCAGACAGTGGCAAACAGCACTTCAGTTCCTTTTAGAAGTTAGAGAACACTCCTCAATAATGTTATTTCAAACTGAATTAAAACACATCCATAATTGAGTGCCTGCTTTATGCCAGACCTAGGATAAATAGACATAACTCTGGCCTCCAGGAGCTCATGGTATAGTGAGAGAGATAAGCACATGGAACATAATGTGGAGGTGCAATAATGGACACAGGCACAGAATTAATCATCTACTGATAGTAGCACCACAAATACAATGTTGGCCAAGAAGGGGTCTAGTCTCTCTCCATGGGAAGATGAATCAAGGGACAAGACAGACATTAAAATAACCATCACACTATTGCATAAAAAATGTTAAGCTGAGATAAATTATTTAAAGGAACATGATTTTATGAGACAGTAAAATGAATTGGTGGATGGTCAGAAGGTAAGAATGAACATGGATTATCATGGAAAGAAGGTTCTGGGTTGTAGAAATGTGTGGATGATGGAGCCATTGTTTCTAGAAAAAAGACCAGACATGAAGGTCTAGGTAGGTATGTTGAATAGGCAACTGAATCTATGGTTTTGGAACTCAGAAAGCCTATCCGGCACAGAGACCTCAAATTGGTCCTCACTGGCATACCATAAGTCATTCAAGTCACAGGTTTATATGAGATTGCCCAGGGAAAAAATATGGAGGGAAGAGAGATGACCTAAAGCAGGACTTCAGAAGCTCCATTATTTAATGGGTACACAAGAGGAGTGCAGCGCAGAGGCAGGATGTGTCAGGGGGAAACATGTCAGTCCAGTATTAACAAATGTTTATACTTACAGTGTATTCCATGGTACCGTGTGGCTTCTGAACCACCATCTTCTTCTCTTTTTTATCATGTGCCTTGTTTTGATTGTCATCTGAAGAACAAAATATATGTAAATGAAAATTTCATTTTCAGGATTGGAGGCCAGAGTAATCTACAGTTTGTTAAAATTCACTTTCAAATTGACTAAAAAACAAAACACTAATAGAAAAATGGACCAAGGGCACAAATAGACCATACTCCTAAAAAAACATATATTTCATCAGTGAACACCTGAATAAATGACTAATGTTAACTGTAACCAAACAGTACAAATAACAATGAGGTAAAATTTTAAAGTTATTAAAGTGATAGTTTCAATGATAATGTATGGTGAAGTTAGAGTAAAACTAGTACAATCCTGATATAAATGATATATAATGTAGATCAATACATCCATGAGGAAATGATCTGTCAGTATGTAAGAATAGCCATAACATTGTTCATTCTTTGACTCAGGATAAATTCCTAAGAGTAAGTTTACCAAGGAAAAAAACAAAAAATTAAACTGCTATGTGTCACAGCATATGGTTACTAGAATATTATTTATAATCATAAAACCCTGGAAAAACCTATATGTGCAACAACATATTAAGTTGCACTATAGGTTTTGCTGTTTTTATAAGTCAAAATTGGTCAACCTAATAGTTTGGCAGCTATCTGTAAGTCAACCTATTTGTTCTTGTTAAATACATCTTAATATAGCAACCCAGATCTTGGAAACCAGAGAGAAATATTACAATGGATAATTACAATACTTTAAGTAACAAAAAATATAAAACTGAATTAACTAATTTGTATGTGATCAGAAAAAAAAGCAAATTAAGACAAGGTATCATTTTATACCTATTAGCATGGCAAAAAAATAATCAGAATGATGGATAATTCTAGGGTTGGCAGACACGTGAACTACTAGGAATGTAAACTGGTACAGTCATTCCAGCAAATTAAGTCTACAGAGCCCATATCACTCAGCAATTGAACTCACATTTATACATCCTTCCCCAGGAGGTATGTGCTTTATGTAGAGCATAGAGTGACTTATAGAGGGTGTACCTAACAGCATCATCTGTGTCAGTGGGGTGCTGGAGAGAAAGCAAAATGAAGTAGATGTGCTCTGGGATACTAGGTAGTAATTAAAAATAAGCAGGAAATATACACTGCAACATGTTTACAGCAAGAAACAGATTGGTATGTACAGAACAATATTATGTATATTTAAAAGAGATACACACAACCACACACATTTTTCAAGGCCATATCCAAATAAAAACCTGTACACATTGAACACTGTAAAATGGTGTGAAGTAGGAAGACAAATGGGAGTGGCGAATGAGTATAAAAGGGAATTAATGAATAATTAACAAGGAGCTCAGCTCTGACCAGTGATGACATACCATGAACTGATGAGAAGTATGATTGACTCAGCACTCTGAGTTCCTACATCCCCCCATACCCCACCCCCCAGATCAGCAGTATCACTGCATTTACATAACAAATATGGGCATACTGATGAGAACTGGAAGGTAACTCAAAAATGTGAAAATAGTTAATTTACATGGAGTTTACCTGCTTTTGAGATTTTTTTTTACATTATTTAATATTAAAAAACAACAAAAGAAAACAATAGATGCTGCCATTAGAGTCCCTTCCTAGTTATTTGTAGGTTCAATCAGATCTCTTCATAGAACTGCAAGACTCTGAAGATCTCTCTAGACTATGAAAAAATCCCCTCCTTACCTCAGGTAGCCATATCTAAATTACTTCAGGAAGATGAGACTACTGATTATGTCGTTTAGATCTCCAGATCTCCAGATTCTGTAGATTGGGAGATTCTACATAGACTACCGAAAAACTCCATCATGGTATTTTATAATTCTTATGCGCTAACTGGCATTCACTCCTTTTAATATCTCAGCTCCACTCTCTTTGCCCTGCACTCCTGCCTTTCTCATTGTCAGCATAAACAGTTGTAACTTTAGGTCTTCTTGCTTTGAGAACAGTCTCTTCACATCCTTTTGTAGGTGCTTCCTATTCTAGAGCCTAATCTCCTTTCCTATTGGTGGCAGCTTCTGATCCATGCCCTTCTGTAAGCTGGGTATAATTATCCCTGGCCCCAGAGGGGGCACTGTTCCAAGCCACCAAGTCATGAGGTTCTATATTGCCCAGCTGTGAAAGAAGACTGGGTGCTGGCTGAACCGTTCAGGATAAACATAACTAAATACACCTGAATTAGTACAAAAATTAAATTACTTTCCTTTGACATAGGTGGATAGGCCAGACAATGTCACAGATGGTAATATTAAAAGGATCAAAAAAAGTCTTCCCTCCAGAGTCTAAGATTTTAAATTCTTGAGGTAAGGACCATGATATACTCATTTTTGAATATAATGTGCCATAATATGACACCTGGTGTATATGCTTGAATGAACTTCCCAATATAGATCAATGAGCCTGACCAACTTGATGCCAGGCAACATTTTCACTGATGGAACATCACACCAGAAAATTGTATCACACCATTAAAGCCACAAACTTAACAATGTGTTTTACAGTGGACTCAGTCTAGAAAGCACAGAATTGGTAAATTACAAGGACCTAATTTAATGTCTTCAGTCATTATAGCACAAGATAAGGTTTCTTACTACTTCCTACATATCTTTTTGCTGTAAGTTATAAGATGGTGAACTATGTGTAACAATTCAATGGAGTCCTGTGAACCTTACTAGAAGGGCTCTGCGGCACATAGTCCACAAAGCACTGGGGAGGTTTTGGCCCTGCAGAGGAGGCTGAGGCCTCGGGAAAGGGTGGTTGGCTGCGATTCCAGTGTTTCAAGTGGAGATCATGACCATGCTAACTAAGCATGGAACTATCTGGAACTGTCCCCCAGTGACACTGATTAGTCTACTTTCAGCTTTAGGCCTCCTTAGACCCTTTTTACTTACCCCAATTCTAACGCTGCCCCCCAACTTCCCACTTACAGGAACCTGAAGTAAATGATGTCAAAGTACCTCCTGCTGGAGGGGAAAGTTGGCAGGTGTTCCTCCGAAGCCATTCAGAGCAAAGCCACTGAACCTCCTATTTGCTCCCACTCTGAAAAGAAGTCTTTAGAGCCAGTTTTTCCCAAACCAATGAGGGAGCAGCTATGAAAAAAACGACAAAAACCCTAGGGGATGCAACATAGGCCCTTTAGCCTCGCCCACCTCGGGTCTCATAGATCCTGGAGGTGGGGGCTGAAATGGGGAGGGGGAACCCGTGTGGACCCTCAACCCCCTTCCTCCCTCGCTGCTCCCACAGGAGGGTTATGAGTGTCTGGAGCACAAGGCTTCTGGCTCCTGCATCTGAGGAAAGCCTACATACAAGCTAACTGAAAGGAGACTCCTCTCCCTCAGTGCACTGAGGCCAAAAGAAGCTGATGTTCAGGAGGATGCCCAGAGGGGCATGAAGGCTGAAAGGGGAGGATTCCTTTGCAGTGGTGATCTGTGAAGTCTCACATGAGGTCACAAATGCCAGGGGACTGAATCGTAAGATCTGAGGCTGGAGGACAGAACCCAAGGAAGGGGTAAGAAGCAGCAAGGCTGATGAGCGTGGGGGGCTGAAAGTCCAGGAAGTGAGCGTCATGTCGTAGAGGCCACGGCAAAAAGTTAAAGGAAGGCTGTATTGACGCTGTCAAATGCTGCACAGTAGATAAGAGATGGAAACCTGGTAACTGGTAATGGATAACAGTTCCTGTGGTGAAACTGGAGTGATCTCAAGACAGATGGTGTTAACCTCATCAGAAACGTAGGGATAAGGTCATTTGCTAAAATGTATGGGCTAAAGGGTTGTAAAATTTGGAAAAGTTACTGTGGCAAAGAGAAGGTTCCAATAATGTGAATGTTGAAAGCAGCAGTAAGAAGAAACAACAAGGGCTCACCAGGGGTCGGGGGGCTCAGCACAGGGTGACAGACCGTGTGAGGAGTGAGCAAGCACCCTACTCTACTGGCGGCCAGTGGGGCTGCTGGCATGAGCAGGGCAGCTGAAGCCAGCCTGCAGGTGAGGAGCGCTGGGATGCTGAGTTAGGAAAATGGCATGAGGTGGTGTTTCCTATTGCTACCATGACAAATTACCATGAATTTAGTGGCTTATATTAAACATAAACACAAACTTATTCTTTTATACTTCTGGTTCTGAGAAAAACCACCAAGAATGCGGCAATACCAATGTCTCTAAACCTGAGCATCTGGCTCCTGCCACAAACCACTGGGGACCGGGGGAAGTCAGGACAGTGGACATTATACATTATCGTACTTGAAAACAGAAACAACAGACACTGTGAATTCCCCGGGTCTTGATTCCATAACCTCTACACAGATACAGGAAGGAAAGAAAAGACAGTATATAGCCTTTTTTCTGTTATCAATTATGTGCATAAGCACAAACAGAACTTTCCAGGTTTTCAAATTATATCAGGGTCAACTCTGCACTGGCTTAGACTTACTATGTGTGTCCCCTTTTCCCTCACTTCCCTTGAACAACCACGCTCTCCCTTTCTTCCATCTCTAGCGTAAGACCATCTGAATGGGGTACAGGAGACAAATCTCACAGGATACTCAACACCGTGTCTTAAGGGGGAGAACAGTTTCCAGTTTCCATGGCATCTATATAAGGGGGATCCAGAGAGGTAAAAATTGTCTATGTCTTTCTAGATCTTTCTAAGAAAGCAGCACTGTGACTTATAAACAGGAAAACCTATTTCCAACGACAGAGATATCACTATTCTGGGAGCTGATGCATTGGCAATCACGGTTTGATGACATTAACAATAAAATCAGGTCATGTGCTGCCTCTCTTATGTCACCAAACATTTTTGGAATTATAATTTGGTTTGGGGGTAAAATGAGCTAGGTTCAACTAGCAACTCTGACACATTCTCATTCTCAAGTTAACAAAGTTACTTGAAAATGTCTGTGTCTCTGTGTCTTTCTCTATAAAATGAAGAACTATCTCATAATGTTGATTAAGTGATATGATGGACACGGTATTTATCTCAGAGTGTGGCACCAAGTAAGTGC